AAAACAGGTTAACTAGGCAACTCAAAATAAAATAAGTACTAAGTTGAATTATATGTGACTCAAAAAAATATTATATTGATTAATAAAGGTATAGTATACCTCATCTACCCATTAATTTATACTTGGTATACAACACATTACAATATTTGGCGGTCCGAGGTTAGGCCTTTTGCGGTCCGCATGTTGCTGACCGTTGCATTAGAGTCTTGCCTAATTGAAAGTGCGGTAGGAAGTGAGCTAATAAGGTGATAGACATTTGAGTATTAGTCAGAAGTTCAGGTGAAGTTTTTGTGTTGTATTGGCATTATAGATGTAAAATAAAGTTGAGTTCAATTGTATAGTGTGGTCAATTATTGATAGAAAAAACGTAAAAGTATTTTTATAAGTTGAAATTTTAGTTTATTTTGATTATGTTCATCTTGAATTGTTTAAACTCAATTTTTAGGAATTTAAAACCATTTCAATAACTAAGGATTGAGGTAGCGTGTTTTAAATTTTAATTGTGTTGGGTTTTCTGTTATTTTTCAGTGAAGCATAAGCTTTCAAAGAAACTGAAATTTTCAATTCATACTTATATTTTTTCAAATATAATCTAATACCATACTAAGACATTACTGTTGGCTTGATACTGTAACTGTTCCTTCAGTACTATTGTCTATTTCAATGTTTGTGCCCTTGAATTGTTTTTTTTAAATATTATTGGATGGAATCCACAGAGGCAAATGTTATCAGTTTTCGTNAGTTTTTTGGTTATTTTCATGTTCTACAAACTGAAAAAATTAACTATATAGCACCAACAGCAAATCTTGGTTCAACAAAAATTGCGAACAAGCTGTCGCCTCCAAAAATCTTGCCTGCCGGCAGTGGCGCAAAAATCCTAGTGCCGAAAACCGAACTAGGTTTGTTAATGCTCACAATAGCTGCACGTAGGATAAATGAAAGCAAATAACTTCACAATCAGAGAATTAGGGATAAACTGCTTGCCAATCCCAATGGGTCTAGATCCTTCTGGTTGGTAGCTAAAGCTGTTAATCAGAACTTTACAAAATCCACAATTCCACCACTAACACAAGCGGATGGTTCAATTGCATCAACAGCCATAGAAAAAGCAAATCTAGCTGAACAATTTGCGTCCCACTCCACAGTCGATTTTCTAGGAAAGTACCACCCACTATTTCCACACTAGAATCCACAATGCCGGAAATTACTTTTTGACAGCGTCTTGTCAGTGCGCAAATGAACTCGCACCAGTATTTTGCAGACTTCTCAACCTGTCTTACAAAAAATGTGTTTGCCTATTCCCAAAAAGGGCAAGAAAAATCTTCCAAATAACTATAGAGCAGTCACTTTGCTATCAGTGATATCAAAAATATGGAGACCGTGTGTGGCATAGGGTTTGCTGGTCAAACTTCGATGCTATGGCTTGTCGGATCATTTTTGTGCTTCCTGAAAGCTTCCTGAAAGAACGTTGTCTGCAAGTGGCCGTCGATGAATATCTCTCCCCAGGGATTCATATTGTCTCCAACCCTTTTTTTATTGTATATCAACGACTTTTGGAAAAAAAACAAGAATCAGGCATCAGGAGGTTGCATATCTGAGAGATGAGAATCTAGAAGTAATTTTGAATTTAGGTAAAAGTAACCAGGTTCAATTCAATGCTACAATGTTGGGGGTTAAAATGGACACCAATATGTCTTGGCACAATCATGTCGCTGGAATTGCAAAGGCTGTTTCTCAAAAGCTTGGAACACTTTTCCGAACCAGAAAACTGTACACATCACAGCAACTTTTGATGCTTCATAAAGCTCAGATCAGACTTTCTTTGGAGTATTGTTCTCATGTATGGACCTCTGCCACCAAACATACCCTGAAGTTGCTGGATTCCATCCAGAAAAGAGCCATTTACCTGATCGGAGACGCGAACATCACATGCAACCTTGACAGCCTGAAACATTGAAGAAAGGTTGGAGATTTGTCTCTTTTCTATATATAGTTTCACGGGCACATTTGATTCCACCAAGAGCGATACGTATCAGAAATACTCGACGGACTGTGGCTACTCATCGTTTTGAGGTTCAACTCAGTACACCTCGAACTTCACTGTTCAAGAACTCTTTCATCTGGAGAACTGCGTTCCTGAGAACGTTTTTCCAAATGGATTTATTCGGGCACCTCTCTGAGAGCGCCTTAAGGATTTTCCTGTAGTGCTTGTGTTTTGTCCTTAAAATTATGGAAGGTAGAAAAATTCAAAAGGTCAAAACATTTTCTCAACAATTGAATTATTACCAGAAAACAAAAGTGGCTTTTCGATAAAAGTTTTCTGAGATTGAAAAATTCAGTAAAATCTGTCCTAATTTGCTCTATTTACCGTCCAACTGTTATTTTTGCTGGAAAAAGATAATTTCATACTAAACATCTATTGTCAAGTAATTTAATGATGATAAGAAATGTGTTTGTTGAAAATTGACATATCTATGTAATCTTTCATAGATATTCAGTATGATCTCTGTTGTGATTAATTATTTCAGGTGAACCAAGTGCAGTGAAAATTGTGGACAGAGAGACGTTGTTGAAAGAGAAAGAAGAAAAGAAGAGAGCTGAAGTAGAAAAAGCTGCAGAAAAAGACAAGAAAAAAGCTGAACTAGCAGCTGCAGCAGCAGCAAAAGAAGAACAAAAGAAAATACCACCTAATAAAATGTTCAGAAGTGAAACTGATAAATATTCAAAGTTTGATGAGACTGTTAGAATTTTAATCACTGTAACTTGTCACTTTATATTTAATGTGTTTATTTTAGGGTCTGCCAACTCATGATATAGAAGGAAAAGAAATCAGTAAAGGACAATTGAAAAAATTACAGAAATTATACCAGCTACAGGAGAAGAAATATCAGGAATATCTTCAAAAAAATAATGCATTAAATGGAATCAACTAAAAATAAAGACTAATCATTTGAATATATTGTCAAAAATGTTGCTGTACACAGTATTCTATTCTATTTATTTTCTATTCTTGTAGATGTTCTGTCAAACATTTTTTAAACAATATTAAATTAGTTTCACAATTGATCAAGCTTGTTAATCGTGATCTAGTATGGTGTTGTCTGTAAACTAAATTTATGTATATATTGGCAAATGTAATAAAAATGTCGATTTTCATCCTTACTGGGGAGTCGCCCAAACCATAGTATAAATAATCTTTATACTATCCCAAACCATAGTATATCTTTATTCTCTATGCACAAACTAAAGAAACTTGATATTGTATTAAAAAATTCAAAAGTAAAATAAATCAGTAGTGGAGTAAAACATTTTTGGAGATTGAATAGATCATTTTGGCTTTGTAATATTTACCAAGTTATTGAAATTGCTTTTTAAAATAAAATTTGTTTGCACTCATAACGTTTGAGTAATTGAGGAAATATATCGATGTCCACTCTCTTTTGTTTAGTTTGTTTCTTTAACTTCTTTGGGATCTAAGAACTTCACTGTTCCTAGCCTAGATGGGATAAACACTTCTGGGTGGAAAATAAACTACCAAATATCCACTGTCACCTGGTTAGAATTTTCAGTTCTTGGCTAGATGAGTAACAGCAGATTCTGACTTGGTTTTTCGAGGGGGTTATTATTCCTTAAAACAGAGATTCGTCTAGTATTCTGAAGAATGTTTTTTTTTGGTACCTTGGGAGCTGTCTGACTTGTCCATTTAGTCCAAGTCTCCAGAAAACAGTGCAGCCTCTTGGGCTTATTGCGTTTATTCTCCCATCTTCTCATGACACCCATTCAATCAGTCTCGTTCCCTGTACTAGTTTGACAGGTTTCGTGTTGGATGTTCGTCATATTCTTCTGGACGTAATTTTGTACGTCCATATATTGCCTGCCTCCTGTGATTCAGTGCCTCACAATCGCATAAGATGTGTCGTGCTGTTTCTATCTCTTCGTTGCATAATCTGCAGCTGAGGTCTCCATTGTACAGCCCAATTTTATTCAGGTGTCCTCTAAGCAGACAATGACCGGTTAGTAACCCTGTAATTATGCTGAGCCGATCCCTACTATATTGAAGTAGTTCTTCGGTTCTATTCTCAGACGGTTCCCTAATGAAGGTTCTACTGTGTTTGTTGCCAGGTACTCTGTGTGCTTCTTATTGGTACCCCCAGAGCTGGTTCACGACCTATGTATGAAGTTGATGATCCGCGTCTAGCGCATTCATCATCTTTATCATTACCTGTGATTCCTGAAATTTATTTGTGCAATATAAAATTTGGAAATTATGATCGACAACCAATAACTTTGACAAACTATTTTAAAGTAATCCATTGAAATTTAGAATTTTCTTATCTAGTAGATTATATTTATAAGGCTCATTTTGGTAATCTTAAATGCAATAAATAGGGCGATGCAATATTGATAGAACCAAGTTTTTATTGATATTTAGATAACTATATCATTGCGAAATTGTTGTAAGATATTTTGTTTATATTTGAAAAACATTTGATTAGCTAGCAAATCACAAAGCAGGACTAATGATAATTATGTGTGTCAAAATTTGTGTTTATTGTTGCATTAGTCATCTTATATGTTTATATTATGATCAACACTACTTTTAAATGAATTAAATAATGATATCTATTTCGATTCCCACTTGGGAGTAGGCAGAAAGGGAGATCTCAGTATTGCCATGCTTTTCCATTCTTGTTCTTGTAAATGCCCATTAAGCCGAAGCTAAAACGTCGAACAAAATAAACCTTCATATGCGGTGCAATCCACACTTCAGACATACACACACATAAAATTTAATGTACCTCAATCTTGCAGATTTTTTATAAAGAGATCTTTGTATGTTCCAAGGCTAAGCTACTACTCAATTTGTAAGTAGAATTTTGAATGTCTGAATGACTCAAATGTTTTTCCAGGTTTTCAATTTTTTCATGGAATTTGTTTATTCCAGACATTCAGAATAGTAGTTCGTATGATGAAGAACTCAATCCTCGAATATTAAAGGTCAACAAGGTGGTCCAAGGAGTCCAGCAATGCATCTGTTTCAGCTTAGCACGACTGATTAGACCTAGGGTCGAAACACTACTGTCTGGTGTTGAATCATAAATGTGTTGTTTTGGGCTCTGATTTTCAACTAGTTGCCATACAGTGAAAGCTGCAGTGAAAGACAGAAGGCGAATCTTGCCGGCGGTCGATGTCGAAGCTTGGATTTGCTACAGACCGCCTTGGGGAGTCTCGTTTATATTTAATATTCGAGGACAGTTGAGTCCAACAATATATTTTTGGTTCGGCCTAGCACTTTGGCTGGTCGAAACAGCACTGTCTGGTGTTGAATCATAAATGCGTTGTGTTTGGGCTCTAGTTTATAACTAGTTGCCTTGCAGTGAATGACAGAGGACGAATCTTGTCGGCGATCGAAGTCGTAGCTTGTCTTCGCAATTGACCGCATTATGGAGCCTCGTTTATCTTTAATATTCGAAGATTGAGTTCGCTGTCGATTCCATAGATGGCGTCTTCGTATGGGGAGATGTCATCGCCCTTACATCGGCTTGTCCTTTGGGGACAGTTGCTGAATCATAAATGCGTTGTGTTTGAGCTTAAGTTTACAATTCTCCATGAGTATTCAAGAAATTGAGTAAAAAATTGTCAATAGAATGTATATGATATGAGTGCTATATATACGAATGGAGATATATTTCAATTACATAACAATTATGAGTTTTGTTGTTTTACATGGAACACCCTTCATAGATATCTCACTCATGAAAATATTTCAGGAGATTTAACTACTGCAGAACAAAGAAGTGAGAAGCGGTCTCCAAATGATTTTGCTCTGTGGAAGAAAAGTAAAAGTGGAGAACCTGCTTGGGAATCACCATGGGGACTTGGTAGACCAGGTTGGCATATAGAATGCTCGGCAATGGCTTCCGATATTTTTGGGCCAACTTTGGACATTCATACTGGTGGTGTTGATCTTAAATTTCCCCATCATGACAACGAAATAGCTCAAAGTGAGGTGGGGTGATAATAAGAAAATTTAGTCATTGTAATGAGACTACTACTATATTTTATTAATTTGTAGGCTTATTTTGGTAATCCAGACTGGGTGAAGTATTTTCTGCATTCTGGACACCTAACTATTGCTGGTTGCAAAATGTCAAAGTCATTGAAAAACTTTGTCAGCATTCAAGATGCTCTTTCCAAGTATAGTTCGAGGCAATTAAGGTTTGCCTTTTTGTTGCATTCTTGGCGAGATACCCTGGATTATAGTCCAAATACCATGGAAATTGCATTACAATATGAAAAGTTGTTTAACGTGAGTTTCTGACTTTATTCACTTTTGATAAAACCCATTTCAATTAATGGTTTCAGGAGTTTTTCTTGAACATTAAATGTGCTGTGAAAAATATATCAGTTGAAAACACAACATTCAATACATTTTCCAAATGGTCCAATCAGGAAAAAACTCTTAGCAACAAATTCATACAAACTAAGGAAAATGTGCATATTGCTTTATGTGGTGAGTTTTAATTTTTTTTTTCTTGTTGAACAAAAAACTTTAAAATCACAATAAATCATTTCAGATAATGTCGATACCAGAACTGCTCTGGAATCACTAAGAGACCTTGTTACTAGTAGCAATATTTATTTGAGGGAGAGGAAGCCACCAAATTGTTTGATGTTACATGATATAGGTCTGTATGTTACAGACATGTTGAAAATATTTGGAACTGTATATCAGTCTGACACAATAGGTTTTCCTATTTCTACTGATGGATCAAACAACGTGAGTAAAAAGATTTTCATTTTCTTTTTTTTTTTCAACATATATCTTTCCAATGGAGAAATCTGATCAGATAAACTTTTCTATAATATAAGCAATAGTCCTCCAACACTTTAGTATTTCATTCAAGTTTTGAATTTCATTTATATTTCGGTTTGAAATCAATATTAGCTCATTTGTCTTGAACAATAAAACGTATTTTATATTACTGTTTTGACTCCCAATTGAACACTGCGAGGGTCGAAATGGAGGCTGGTCATGAAAGTCTAGTTTTTCTTAAACATTATTGTACGAATCGTGAAAACTTAACTGAAAATACAGATAGAGGTTTGTGATAGCATCTCAAATATTTGGTAAGGTTTTGAGAATAAGCTGTGGTACACTATCTTTTCGAGTGTTCAATACAGCCATAATAAAATAATAGTTTATTTGATGATCAACAAATTACCGAAATTCTCGAGAAAATCCAAAAAACTTTCCTTTCACTATAAAAAAATACAGATCCGATCCGTATTTAAAATTTCAAAATTGAGGGAGCCTCAATAAAAATTCAAATGGCAAAATGTGAACAGATTTTCAATATTTTTGAAACCAAACAAGCTACATATGTGTTAAAAGAGGTGAACACCTTCTTCTCGGCTGCAAAAAAAGCAATTAATATTTCGTTGGCACAGTCGTTTATAACGAGCCATATAGAAAGGTTTTTTTCGTCCTTGCAACGTGTAAAAACTTAGTTTCGGGCTACGATGCCAAAAAAACGTTTAAACAGTTTATGTATGCTAGGCTTTCACCGGAAAATTGTTGAAGAATAAAAACGTGAAATTGTATGAGAAGTTTTGAAAAGATTTTGTGAAGAGCCTCGTAGATTGTTTGTCAAGTAATGAAGCTAATTCTGATTTTTATATATTTTTTAATTACTACCTCCACTGCTCATATGAAACTCATGTGTTGAAAACACTGATCAAAACAATATTATCTATGATTTCTCCTCCTATATACAACATTGGCTATGCCCTTGTAATCTGACCTGTAAGGCTTTTTCAAATTAAAACGAATATCTCAACAGTAACATCATGATTGACATAGACTGACATTGTATTGTTATAGATAACAAAATATTCAAAATGTAAATTTTGGAATACTATTGTTGTAAATTATTCCCGCTAGTAAGGCAATAGACATTTGAGAATTATTCTGAAATTCAGTTGAAGTTTTTGTGTTGTATTGGCAGTGTAGTAGTGAAATAAAGTTGAGTTCAATTGTACAGTGTTGGTAATTATTGTTGAACCCACGGGGAAGACATAACATTTGGTGTCAGAAGTGGGATAATTGACTGAGCATTTTCTCTTTTATGGTGACAATGATTATGACGGGATGGAAGAACTCAAAAAAATGTTCGAGGCTATGCAAGCAAGCCAGGCGGAGAATGAAGGAAAGAGGAAGAACGGTTACGCCGAAATGAAAATTGTGAATTGTTACTAAGTATCCAGGAAAAACAGAAAAAAGACAAGAGACTTGCTTTTAAATATTCAGGACAAACAAGAAAGAGACAATCAAATGTACCTTTATTTATTAAAAAAATTAAAATTTCATGTGAGTAAAGGGGAGGTACAGGAATTTATTCAGGAATAACTTGAAATAGTATTTAAGGAAACAAAGGAGGACTCTGAAAAAGAAGGGAAAATGCAAATTAGAATCAATATCTCTTCCTTCCAGTAGTAATTCATTAAAACTTCATCCTTCGATAGCGAATCTTCACGCTCTATTTATCACAGACAATTTGAAGCTGCCGCGGAAAATAATGGATGGAAAAATGAGGAAAAATTAACAGTCTTTATACTGGCACTACGAGGAAAGACCTCCGAAATTCTGCAAAATATTCTAGTGAATAAGCAGAAAAATTATGAAGCAGTCATATCAGTTTTCGAGGTAAGGTATGGTAGTGGGCACCTTCAACAATTCTACCAAGACTGAAGGTGTGAACTCAAGTTCCATCTCCAAGAGTCTGTAGGAGTATGGGGCTGAATTCGAAAGGTTGGTAAGGCTGACCTATCCAGAATCCACCCACTGGATTAGTATCTCCAATGGGACTCCATGTATATTCGAGATGACCTAGTCACTGGAAAGCCTGGATGGTAGAACCCATAAATTCCAGGTAATCCTTCCAAAGATGTGTATTTTAAATATACTGAAAAAGTTATAAGATGTTTGCACTGGAGGGCATTTTGGAGTAAATAGAACTCTAGTGAAAGTGCGTGAGAGGTACTAGTAGGTCAATTTCCGACAAGACGTGAAGGAGTGGTGTAAGGGTCTGAAGACGGCAAAGGGGAAAGTTGAAGCAGTACAGTAGGTGCCCTTTCAAGAGAATCGCAATTGACATTCTGGGACCACTTCCTGTGGCTACATCCGATAACAAGTCTTAATAGTTGTGATGGATTATTTCTCCAAACGGCCTGAAGTAGTAGCATTACCCAGCTAAGAGGCTAAGACGGTGGCAGAAGCTCTGTTTCAGAATGTAATTGCCAGGTACGGAGTACCCCAGGAGTCACAGTCGGATCAGGGCTGCAACTTCGAATCGGATTTATGGAAGGAAATGGTTGTTGGAAATGAAAAAGACAAGAATAACCGGTTATCATCAACAGTCCGATGGAATGGTCGATAGGAATAATCGCACCTTGAATAACTAACTTTCTGTTGGCATACCGGAGCTCCCAACATGATGCGACAGGTTACACACCATCCATGTTGCTAACTGGTCGAGAACTAAAGCTTCCGATAGATGTAATGTGTGGCAGCCCAATGAATCTCAAGATGTACCCCTTTCAGACAATGTGAATGACCTGCATGAGTTACTGCAAATTGACCACAAATTTACCAGTTTCAAATTATATGTTTTCAGCGACAGGATGAAGATGAGATTTGACAAAAAGTCGATGCCAGTGAGCTTCAAGGAGAGCAATGCAGTGTGGCTCTACCAACCCCATCGTCGGAAAGGTTTGTGTCCCAAATTGCAGAGAGCATGTAAGGACCTTACTTGTCATCCAGAAGCAAAACTAAAGTTGTCCACATAGAGTGACTGAGTCCTTACATGGGTTCCTACTTGGAATGTTGTTTGGGCGAACGGCTTAAGGGAAGGGGGTAGTGTTGTAAATTATCCCCCGAAGCAAAAGTATCGCCAGTCGCCGCTGGTCTTCGTCGATCGACTGTGACTATGCCAAAGTCGCGCACAACTCTACTTGTGCTTCTCAGTCGTTCTAGGTGTCGCGTCGCGTCAAGCATATTTTTTCCGACTTCCGAAGACTTTCGTAGGGATATATTTACACTGCCAACAGGCATTAAAGCAGAGGTCGGCAAGTGGCTTAAGGTGGGGTCTGGATGCTGTGGGAAAATTTTAACGAGGTCCAGAAAAAAAAAACAACTTATAATAATTAGGTGCTATCTATGTACTATTTTAGTTTCAAATCAAATTTTGAATTATAAAACACAAGATCTAAAATTAATGTGAGAAACTACACCGACGGTCTTGAGCCAGTTTTTTATAGTTTGGCACTCGATAGGAACAGCAAATTCGAAGTGTGTCTTCTAGGTGGGCGTCCGNAAAGACAATTCTTAATTTATTTGGTTTGTTTACATTTGTTACCCCGAAATGTGGCAAATACCATGTTTTCTCATTCACCTTATTTGCTTCTTTTCTTGTCAACTTCTTGATATAACCTTTCTTCTGCATGTCTTGAATTTTTTTGCAATATATTTCACCGTACTTCTCATCTCTATCCATTTTTCGTTCAATATAGTTCAGTCTTTTTAGCGCATTTGTTCTGCTTTCAGGAAGAACAATGTTATATTTTTTCCATAGAAGTCCTGTTTCAAATCTCTCTCCACTTCGTTTTATTGTTGTGTCCAAAATATGTTGTGCTCTCTTATCTTCAATCGACAAAACTTTATCAGGCATACTTTGAACAGTTTCCAATTTCCAATTTTCTTTAACCATTTCGTGTAGAATATCCAAATCATCGTTCTCATTTCGGAGATCGTGGGTACTGATATGACAGACGATATGTTCATGGCGCGTCTAAAAATTGGGACCATTGTCTTTGGAACTAATAGTAAATGAAACAACTTCAGAATCATTTTGTTGATGAAACAAATCGTCATTAGTCCATTGTAGAGAAAGACTTTGTATGGGACCGTCAAGACCAAGATAATTAGCAAATTCTTCATCTATTAAAGAAATTGTTGATGCGTCATCCAAAAGTGCATAAGTTTCGGCTGTTTTGTTTCGACAAGTGACAACTACCGGTAAAATTTTCAGTAAAACGGATTTATTATTGAAAACGTGAGAATTTGTTTCAACAATGGCAGAGTCATCAACATTATTGGCTTCATTAATAGTCTGAGGAACGTCTTTATGTAATAACTTATGATGAAACTTTGGACATTGTTGGACTCCACATACCTTTCGTTTGCTGCATTGCTTCAGATTATAATAAAAACTCAAACAAGAAAAGCATATCTTATTTTCCGTTATTATTGACCACCTACCATCTACTGGCATTAACTTGAATTCAGAACACTCTGTAAAATGATGAACAATTTCCTTACAGCAAATACAAGATTTTTTGCTCGTTGCTAAAGTAACTCCTTTTTTGACATATTTTGATTTTGACGTATTTTCCTGAATGTCATATTTTGGAATTTGAATTTGACTAGCCGCATTTGCCTTTTCATCAAGCCACTTTCCTAATTCTACTAGTTTGAATCGTGGTTTTTCTAACTTAGAAAGGTGTTCTACCCATGATAGCTGATATGAGGTTGGTAATTTACTCATTATTTCATTCACTAGAATTGAATTATGTAAATGTTCTTCCTCATTGAGCGATTCTATAGTAGCTACAAAATTTTTGATTTCATCACAAAACTCTATGAATAACTCAAGCTTTTCTTCTCTCACGGGTGGAAATTTCTTTATTTTCTCTAACAACATCATTATTATATGATCTGGC